AAGTGCTAGGCTGGCAGGAGCAGGAACCGAGCAATGAGAGCTCACCCAGTCATGGGGTTTCGAACCGCAGACCTTCTGATTGGCAAGCCCTAGGCTCTGTGGTTTAACCCACAGCACCACCCGCATCCCTTGGAGTGTATATTACTATAAATGTATAGCTCTGGCTAGCTTCCCCCCAGCTGCTGTTGTAGTCAATTGCATTAGGAGGACTTTGTCTGAAAAACACAAGGAAGCATGACTTAGCTACTGGGCTGCATCAAATTCCAGTGGACAGAAATTTGCAAGCAGGGGTTGTCAGTTTAGCCCCCTAAGAATGATGATTGATGATTTCAGCCAGGGCAGTGAACAATGGTTGGCAACTTAGTATATATATCTTAGCTCGGGTTTAGGGCTCTAAGACAGTTATATTCTTGGGAAAATGGAGGACGCTTAGAGTCAGAGTCAACTTGAGAGGTCACTTGAGATCTCAGGGTTTTCCAATGATAAGTGATACAGTTTTGACTTTATTGGATTAGGAAGATAAAACATTAGTGAGTACCAGAGTTCTCAGGACAATTTCAACAGAGGACGTCAGTGGACACCGCAAATGCATTTTGCCCTAATATGTTATACCTTGCCAGTTCATCTTTCAAGACAAAATTGAGACTTTTGACCCAGGTGGATAACGTAGGGTTGCAAAGTGAAGGTTCAATGGTGCTCTATGGCAACAAAATATTATATTATTACAGTGGTACCTCGGGTTACATACACTTCAGGTTACATACGCTTGAGGTTACAGACTCCGCTAACCCAGAAATATTACCTCGGGTTAAGAACTTTGCTTCAGAATGAGAACTGAAATCATGCTACCTTGGCGCGGCAGGGTATTAAAAGGTATTAAAAGAGATAATCTATTAGCTTATGCAGCAGTTTTCATGTGCAGTTCAAATAATTAACACAATGACACTATTCAGCTTCTAAAACAGACTGCTTGGGTTGGAATTTTTTTTCTTTTTTTAAAAGGATACATAATGTTGCTCCAGATCTTTCTTCCTAGTACAGTTCTGCCTTAATGCAAAGCAGCTCCGTATATAATAGCCTTACTAATTATCCTGGATGGAGTTCTGAAAATATGAATGATCCTAAAAGAATTATGGACTGGTGAGAATCCTTGCCTTGCTAAAGAAGATGTGCAAGAGACTCTCATGTTGAGAACAGCTCTATCTATATATTTTTCAGTGTTCTGTGCCATTTGATCTTCAGAACTGGGCAAGCAGATTTTGGATCATTGCTGTTAGAGACCAAAAATAAATAGTAGAAAAATTTTGTCTGTGAGCATGCACACTAATATCTGGATAAAGGAAGGCAGTGCAAGACCCCAAGTTAGCAGTACAGCCATTTCATCTGAGTGCTATAGGAGGCCAATTTTTGAGCCAAGCCTCTTGGCTGTCTGCTCTTTGCTATATGATGTCATTTATGCCAACTATACTTGAAAAGTGGGAATTAAGACGAAGAATTGAGCTTGGTAACTGTCTCTGGTGTACAGCCAGATCTTACATCAGAGCAGAAAATATGCCTGTGCCATGCTAATATAGTAATGCCAGGTGGAACGCTATCACCTTCTTGACTAATATTGATTCAAAATAATTTGCCAGGAAGGCCACTGGCACCATTTATTATGCTGATTGGAAGAGGACAAATCTCTCTCTCTCTCTCTCTCTCTCTCTCTCTCTCTCACACACACACACACACACACACTCCTGCATACAGTACGTCTCTTCTGAACCATTTTTTCTTTAAGATTCATCCTTCCTGTTAAAGCCAAGGCTTCAAAATAACCTGAGTGTACATTATCTTCCTCATTCATTTATTCTTCACCACTATTGTGCTCGCTTCCCTTTTTCACAGAGAGTGAAAAAGAACATTTCTGATTTGATAAAACCCATTTCCTTTAATCTCATCTAATTGCTGGTGTATTGTGCTTTGTGGCTTCATTACTCTGCTTCACAGTGGATCACAGTCCTGAAACCGAGGTAAGAACACTTCATGATCTTACTGAATTCCAAATTAAAAAAAGCCTTAGTAACTGTTCAACCCATAATGATACAATATAAAACCAGAATCAGTTAAAAATAGGTTGAAACATCCAGGGCTTTAAGCTCCTTTTACAAATAGGGAGGGAAGGGGCCACCACAGAAAAGTCATTGTCTCTTGTGCCCACCAGTCTGCTTGTGCAATTTTGCTTGCACAATGAGTTAATTTCCCTATCTTCCCTCAAAATGACAGAAATCCTGCTGCAAGCCTGCTTTTCAGAGCCATGCTAGGGAGCTGAATATAAGCCCTCTGCCAGCACCTGTATGGAGCCTGAATAAATAATCAAGGCTCAGCAAACAACTTCTGAGAAGGATGTTTGAGGGAGAGCATAGGCTTCATAGTTGTATGAGGTGGAATTCTGCATTTAACATAAAGGCCCAGGAATGGAAACCATTATTTGTTTTGCAGCCTTTATTGCTCCGTTTGCTGGAGTGTTTTTTTTTTTAACCAAAGCTGCATGTGGAGTGCTAATAGAAAACTGAATGTTATAATTTGCAGTATGAGGCCCGTCACACAGCTTCCTATGCACCCATTCACTGTAACCTTTCTGAGTGCCAGAGAATTAACAAAACATATTGGAGTACCACTAGAGGTGCCCAGAAGTCAGCATTTAAAATGTAGTTGGCTATAGGCGTCTACGTACACTGCTGTTGTTTTTCCTATGGGTCAGTTTATTTCGAAGCAGCTTTCAGGTGGCGTGAAATACCATTGCAGGTTACGAGCGCGGCAAATGAAAACTTCGGCAGTGTGTTTCAACTCAGAGCTGTCTCGACATACATTCTAATTAGGCTCTCAACAGGATCCAACTCTCCTGCCCTCTCTCGCATTAGCTTCCAAAGTGCACTGGCTGGGGGAGGAAGGGGGAAGGTTCGGTTTTTATCCTGAGATGAATCAGGCATCATATTGCCTGACGCCAGGCTCTTGATTAGATACATATTTGTTTTAATTATCCACCTGCTTTCAATTAAGTACCAGGAAATCCATCCTATTAGCAACACAAGCTAATTACCCTGGTACATAGAATAAAGTCCTCCCCCCCCCGCCCGGTTACTTTTTGTGGGGACTGGCTAAACATGTTCCAAATATAGCTTCAGTTTTTAGCTGTACCACCTCATAGGTTAACAGCAGTTACCAAACATCTGCTGTGCAGGCTACGGAATAAGGGCCTATTTGGAGGCAAAAAGCAAACAAACTGTAGAGGCGCACATTATGACGGGGGTCAGTTGATAGAAAGACTTCAAGGGCATTACGGTTTCCATTTCTAAAGTACTGTGGAGAGGGAATGCACACAAATCTCTGAAAACTGGGATTTATGGATTTTCATCTCGCACGGCGCTTTGAAAATGTACCCTTAATAATAATGGAATCAGCTGCTCAAGACAGCTGTGTGAGCAGCTACTGATAGACTCCAGATGGGTGGTAAGGCAGTCAACATTTGGAAACATATAGATTACGCATTTTAAAATTTAGAGGAAGGGGAAGGGAATCCACAGATATTTAACAGAACAGCTGAGCAAATATATATCCTCTCTGGCAGTGTTTTTTCTATAAAAGAAGGTGCCAGTACTGCGTACATCTGAGTACCACCAGCAAAAAGCACTGTGCATACTCATTCAACTCAAGGAGTAATTTTTCTCTTTGTGTATGTGGGGGGGGGGATATCAGTGCTCCTCCCCCCCCCACAGAAAAAAGGTATCAGTACTGTGTACCACTGGGACACGGGTGGTGCTGTGGGTTAAACCACAGAGCCTAGGGCTTGCCGATCAGAAGGTCGGCGGTTCGAATCCCTGCGACGGGGTGAGCTCCCGTTGCTCGGTCCCTGCTCCTGCCAACCTAGCAGTTCGAAAGCACTTCAAAGTGCAAGTAGATAAATACGTACCACTCTGGTGGGAAGGTAAACGGCGTTTCCGTGCACTGCTCTGGTTCGCCAGAAGCGGCTTAGTCATGCTGGCCACATGACCTGGAAGCTGTCTGCGGACAAACGCCGGCTCCCTCGGCCTATAGAGCGAGATGAGCGCACAACCCCAGAGTCGGTCACGACTGGACCTAATGGTCAGGGGTCCCTTTACCTTTACCTTACTGTGTACCATTACTGCCAGAAAAAAAGCACTGCCTTTGGAAAGGCAGTGTTGAAGACATGAATTTGGAATGAAGACTGGAGAGGAGTCATAGGAAGTCGACTATGTGGCTAACTAGCCTGTAGGACAGAGAGAAGACCACAGCAGACAAATAAAACATGACACAGAGACAAATAAAATGAAAGAACTGAAATGACAATTGATGATTAGCATCATATAAAGTTTGGCCCTCAAAACACCTCTTTTAACTTTTTCATCTCTCTCTCTCTCTCTCTCTCTCTCTCTCTCTCTCACACACACACACACCTCAAATATTTTTTAACTATGTATCTATTCTTTCCATTTTTATCCTGCTTGTCAACACATACTGCTAGGCCGTGCTTTTTTCCCCCTGGGGGGACGTAGGGGTATGCACACCCCTAAACATTTTGTGAATCTAAGTTTGGCCTCATTGAGGGGCAATATTTCAATATGAGTAGGAAAATGAGAGTACCCCTAAACTTTTTTTAAAAGAAAAAAAGCACTGCTGCTAGGCCAGCTTGACCTAAGGTTGTCAGGTTGTACCCAGAGATGCACTCTGACCCATTTAAATGATTGATTAAAGAGGAAATGCAGCAACTGCACCTTCTCCCGATTGTTTTTCCTCCTGTCCTTTCATCAGCCTCTTTGCCACAATAGCTGCAGGGAAGAGGCTCGGAAAGACTTGGAGAAATTGCAGCTGCTCAATCTCCTGCTTTTATCCCTTTTAAAAGGACAGCTGTGTTGTGTGTTTTATTAGACTCTTATTTCAAAATAAAATAACATTTTAAAAAAGAGGGCAGAGAGAAGCTTTGGGCTATAAGCTTACATACCCACCAAATAGCTCAGTCAGTACAGCATGAAAGTCTTAATCTCAGGGTTGTGGGTTCGAGTGCCACATTGGGCAAACAATTCCTGTACTGCAGGGGTTGGACTAGATGACCCTCGTGGTCTCTTCCAACTCTACAGTTCTATGATTCTATGAAACCTTGCATGACCTGCACATTCTGTGTTGATCTGGACAGTCCATTAATATCATTCAGCATGCATTGTGTCTAAGCTACTCAGAAGAATGATATACAGCTCATAACAATGGCCTGATTTGTACATAATGCTAAATTGTAGTTTAGCAATATATGAATAAGCTTTGGGCTTGCGTGTCTCCCTGCCTTCTCCTCTTCCAGACTGGTCAAGAGCAGATAGGAAACATCCCTTGCTGCCTGTTTTTAAATTAGCCACACTTTATTGTTGTTGCTGAAAAGGACAAACTGTGGTTTGCTAATTGAAACAAGCCGGGATCAAGGCATGGTTTATGATCCTGGCTTGTTGCAACAAACCATAACTAACAAGTATGGTGTGGCAGAGAACTAGTGGTGGTTAGAGTGCTGGACCTAGGACCTGGGAGACCAGGGTGATCATAAAACAGGTAAAGAGAGAACCCTGTTCACCACCTTGGACAACATGAAGGAAAGGTGAGATATAAATGGAATAGGTAAATAACCAGAGCTCCCAGTTTGGATGTAATAAGAAAGTTAGCTTAAACCAGGAAGTAGATGCTTCCAATTTCCTCCTCAGATTGGGAGGAGATGAGGGCAAAGACAGCCTGATCCTTGCTGCTGCTCAACCACATAATATTTGCCCCTGAATGTGGAACAAGCATGAATGACACTAGGCAAATTATCTGTTTTTGTCATTGTTATTATTACACCCTTTCCTTTTTCTTTGGAGCATTATCAGGGATCCTGGTCTCTCAGCCTCACTTGTCCAAACGAACAAGTACCCGTGCCAGTGTTATTTTATTTCCTCACTGCTGCAGAGTCCCTCAGAATGCTTCAAAAGCGCCTAGTAATGTGTTTATTAGCAAGATAGAATATATCTTCCTTTGAAACAGAAATACACACCCACACACCCACGATGTAATAAAATTGTAAGGCTTTTGTCACACTGCAGTTTGCATAGCCCCCAATAGGTGGTGGCATCTTCTTCTTCTTCTTCTTCTTCTTCTTCTTCTTCTTCTTCTTTCACTCATAGCCGAGTAAGATTGTCTTCCATAAACATGGTTCTAACAATGAGTCCGTAGGTGACTGTTGAAGGCCAATTCTGGATCCACACATCCTTCCACAGTGGGGACATTGGTTTCCGGGCGGTAGTTGATCATGGTGTGGATTTGCCAAGCATGCCTTCTTCTTACCTCGTTTCTCCCTGTTGTCCTGAGTTCAAGTGTCTTCAAAGCTCATGACACCTTTGGTAAAGGCTGTTCTCCAACTGGAGCACTCACAGGCCAGTGTTTCCCAGTTGTCAGTGTTTATACTATATTTTTAAAGATTTGCCTTGAGACAGTCTTTAAACCTCTTTTGTTGACCACCAGCATTACACTTTCCATTTTTAAGTTCAGAATAGAGTAGTTACTTTGGAAGACGATCATCAGGCATCTGCACAACATGACAAGTCCAACGAAGTTGATGTTGAAGAATCATTGCTTCAACACTGGTGATCTTTGCTTCTTCCAGTACACTGATATTAGTTTGCCTGTCTTCCCAAGTGATGTGTAAAATTTTTCGGAGACATAGTTGATGGAATCTTTCAAGGAGTTGGAGATGGCATTTCTAAGTGGTCCATGTTTCACAAGCATATAGTCAGGTTGGTAGTACAATAGCTTTGTAAAGAAGCATTTTGGTTTCTGAAGTACTTCCCGGTCCTCAAACACTCTGCACTTCGATCAGGAAAAAGCCACACTTGCAGAGCTCAGGTAATGCTGGATTTCAGCATGGTTGGAAGTACTTCAGAGAGCAGTTTGGCAAACCGTTCTCTGAAGCGCCTTGCAGCTCTTTTTAAAGGGTTGGGAGCTGGGGCTAGCTGTGAAGGGATAGGTGAGGGGTGGATGATGTGTAAAAGGAATGGGGTTTGGTCAGGTGTAAAGGAAGGAGGATTGGCCAGTTGTGGGGGAAGAGGAATTGGGAAAGGGGTTGGCAGATGGTTGGGGTTGGCAAGAGAAGCAGGGGTGATTAGGAGGGGTGGCAGCCCCTAATTTGTGTGTGTGTGTGACAGTTCTCTACAAGCTTCAAGACGCACATTGTTCTTCTCCCTCTTATCTTTACACTAACCTTGTGAGGGAGATTAGGGTTAGTCATAGTGACTGACCTAATAAGTTTCATAGAGGAGTGAGAATCTGAATCTTTGTTTTCCTGGCTCAAGTCCAACACTAAGTGCTAGCTACCCTGTTCTGGCTGACAATATTCTGTTACAGTTTCTAATTTAATCTAATTTACTTTACTTCATATGCCTATATGCAAGTTGGACAAACCCTTATCATTGTATGAAATGACTTAATAGTCAGATTGTTCACACACTCAGTTATATCCAAACACAGGTCTTTGTGTTGATTATCCTGAAGAATCCTAGGTGGGTTTTTTCCACTCAGCAAAATACTTTCAGCATTACAGCATTTTTCTATAATTCACTTCCTACATTCCTAGGATAATAGAAAGATGACGACATGTAGAGAGAGGCATTTTACCTGATAACTGTTACATACTGGATTCAGGAAAGCAGCAGCTCCATGTCATAAGATCTAATTATCAAGAATTGCCTTTTCTGCCCCAAAGCAACCATTTGGATGACAGTGTTCCGTGCACTGTAAAACAAAATGGGAAGCCTGTGCTGGATAAACTGGCTCACCGCTTCCTGCCACTTCTTCTGATATCTGCCTCCCCATCTCATTTATTTTCCACACATTAATGGTAGCAGTCACCTTGAGCTGGTGATGCAGAGTAATTTTCACAGAAACCTTGATCAGAAACCATAAATCAGCCTGATGTGCTTTTATGGTCTAATAACATTCTGTCTGCTCCTACAAGCCCTTATGTAAAACTGCACTGCAGTGAAGCCCTTGTATTAGATTTTATTGCAGATATTCCAGCACACTGTATATTCCTTTATGCAATAGGCACACTGTATCCAGACCAAAGTTCCAAAATTGTTATCATATTAAGAAATTGGCCTAGATATAGAGATGGGGAAATCCCCATAAATCATTCCATCTCATTTTATTTGGTGGGATGGTCACTGCCCTTCAAGAAGGCAGAACAGTGAACTGCCCTAGAATTTGATAATGAAGGGTGGTATATTAATTGTTTTGGTAAATGCAATACAATACATATTGTATTGTACATACATACATACAAATACATCTACAATACATACATACATATATAAAACAGTGACAAGGATTCCCAGTGCTCATCTTCCCACCTATTTATCCGGAGAACCTTCTTTCACTTTTCAAGCAGGCATCCTGATTACCTCCCTGACCATAATGATAGAGGCTTCTACTTGAAAGTAAGGAATATATATTCATTGAGGTAGAGAATAAATATAGGCTTAGTAACAGTTCATGAGTCGCTGTAGCCACTACACTCAAGATAGACAACAGGAAAGCTGAGGCCAACTGGGCTGGAAGCAGGAGTCCTAGCTGAAGAAGTCTAAGACCAGGGCAAGGAGGTCAGAACTGCATGGAAGCAAACAGTAGTGGCTCTGTGAGGGACATGGAAAATCAAATGGGTGGCGGATTACAATATCACAATTTTTTTCTTAGTAGGAAGAAAACCTCATTTATTTCAAGGGAGTAACTTCTGAATAAACATACCAAAGCCAACTAGTTGTATTGTATCCTGTAAAGGGAGTGCGCCTGCAATGTGAATGAAATTATGTGGACACAAGGAAAGTGCTAAAACAAACATTCCCCAGTATCCTTCTACATCTAGCTTCTCCTGATTTTTCTGCTGCTCAGAGAGGACCCCTTCTGGAATTAGGACTGGTCAACATTCCCTCATCCGATTGCTTGGGAACAGTGATTAAGTGATTAAGTGTCCTTAGCAATGATGCTGCCTGCTGAGTGCCAAAGCATTAAAGTTACCTCCACATTATGTTTTATAACTTCCTTTCTAAATGTCTGATCAACTACTACTACTACTGATGATGATGATGATGATGAAGACAAGAGTCTGGGGACCCTGTTGACAAGGGGCCCAGTACATGTGTACTCCCTGTACCTCCCTATCAGCAACCATGATAAGTCCACATAATATTAAATAAATGTAGTCCTCTCAGTGAAGATGAAAGCCAATCACTTCCCCAGGAAGGGAATTGTATCTTGCCTGCTAACCTCCCTTTTTGTCCTTGAGCAATGTCTTTGTTTATAGCTTTGGGTGAACATAGGAGGGATGTGGCCAGTGGTTGTGATATCACTCCCTGTCATCCATACATTCATATCACCATATGACCAAGGCCAAATATGACTCTCTGTTCTGCCATTCATCTCTCCCTTTTGGTGCCCAACAATCAAAGATTATTCCTAATGTTAGGATTTCCCATCAGCATACAGAATGTTCCTACTTATTGTTACATTTTCTTTTACTCATCCATTCCAGCTTCCCTCCTAACCTTCTGCATGCATTCAGACATTAGGCTTACTTCTGTTCAATGTTCCTGATCAAATAAATGATTCTGATTCTGTTCAGAAGAACATGCCATAAATACCCTTTGGACTTCTGTGCTGAATACATGGAAGTGGAGAGGGTTGGGACATTATGGACAGAAATGGAAGCGGTGGTGATGATGCAGGGAGCATGAAGTCTGAATCCTATCCACATATTCTTTGAATGTGAATAGACCTCAGTGCGTGTGAACTAATGTCACCTGATCCATTGTTGTGGGGCTATGTTAGATATTTGAATACACTAATTAATAATAATAATAATAAAAATAAGCTGAAGGCTGTTATTCCCACACAGCTGTGCAAATCTAATTCTGCAATATGCTGTGCAATATTGCCAAATGCTTCTACATCCTTTCAACTAAATGTGCCATTTTGCACCTTCAGTCCCTAATCATGTCTTCTTTAGTTGA